AATTATTTTTGAAATCTTTTATAAAAAAGATTATTTCTTATAATTTTTTTTATTTTAATAGATATTTAAGTGGAAATGAAGCAATGCGGCAGAGGCTCCATCCCAGAGACGCACAAGTAAATGATAGCAATGAAGCGTTAATTTCTATCTGCCCTCACTCCTTTATTGGTAAAATAAGATATTTCATTTTACAAAGACCAAGGGTATTTTTCAACGTCATTTTTTATTGGGGTCAGCATGTAAAACAATTAAAAGTGAAGTCGAGGGCGAATTGATCTTTCTATCATATCAAGTTTTTCTTTATTTTACCCCAAAACTCATTCAAAAAACATTATGTAATTATGCTGTAGTCCCCAAAAGAGACATTTGAAATTGAAAGAATCAATTTCAAAGGAAGGAAGCATTCATTTTCAATCATAATAAAAAGTGTATATATATAATTACAACTATATAAAGCCAGGTTAATGAAGCAACAATACCACAAGAAATCAATATATAAATAAAGGTTGACAAACACACTTAATTTAGTTTAATTTGGTACTAGCATTAATATGTGTATAGATATGTTTGTCTAAAGTTGGCTACCTATTTGGTTATCTAAATGCATGATTGGCGGTCCATAAGCAGGTGCAGCACCATAACCATATATCTAAATTTTTTCATTGTCAACCTGTAAAGATATACTAACATATATAAATATACACACAACGTGAGAAGCTCTACTTTTTGTCATCTCCATTGTTAGAAACTTGGAATTAAAACGTGAAGGCTACCACTATCACCAATGTAATCAAATATCACAGAGATTTTCAAACCTGTTTCTCTTCCATTCTTATGTCCCTCTCTTTCTGTATAAAAGCAATGTTCACGTAAGGGGCAAAGATGCATATAGGCAGGGCTCGGACAAATACTGTTGTGTCGTTTGAGTTTAGAGTAAAGCTCAGCCCAGGCTCCCTAATCATGAACAACATACAATTGTTGGTCTGCCTTATCCTGGTTGGGTTAGTTGGATTTCAGGCGGCCATTACAGCAGCTGATCAGTTCAACTATGGTGAAGCTCTTGACAAAACCTTGATGTTTTTCGAGGCACAAAGGTCTGGTAAACTACCGGTCGACCAGCGTGTCAAGTGGCGCGGTGACTCAGGCCTCAAGGACGGCTCTCAACAAGGGGTAGGACACTTCAAGCCTTGCTTTAGCTCTCTGACTAAAATTTTTATATGATACTGAATATATACAAGCAAGAATTTGCTTTAACTCGTCTTGATGATCACTGCAGGTGGACTTAGTAGGAGGATACTATGATGCAGGGGATCATGTGAAGTTTGGGCTCCCTATGGCATTTAGTGTGACAATGCTTGCATGGGGAACTATTGAATACAGCCGGGAGATCACAAATTTAAACCAAATGGGGCATAATCTATGGGCGATCAGATGGGGCACTGACTACTTCATCAAGGCTCATACTCAGCCTAATGTTCTCTGGGGACAGGTAGGAATATTGTCAAACCGCGCGTTAGGTAAATTGTTTCATATTACTTTCATTAGCACGTTGTTGAATTTAATCAATGCCTTTTAGAGTATCACTTAATTTTTTAAGAATTTTTATTTTAATCTTTCAATTTTGATATATTATGTTAATGTTTTAATCATTCAACTATTAGATATATGATCAATTAATTTTAATGACATAATATGTTTATGTCAACTCATCTGTCACATGGTATTATCCACATGATTAAAGTCACTTAACGTAGACAATACTATGTGACTAATATCAATTGACATTGGAAATGTCATGTGAGTAAAGGTAATTTTACATGAACATGCATCAAGGGTTTTAAAATTAATTGATGCGTTAATTAGCTATTAGTTTATAACGGTTGAGTGATTGTCAAATTAATTTTGATAAACATTGATAATTATGTAACTAAAATAGGTATTCTCAAAAAGTTAAGTTACCAAATGGTAATTTAATCTAATCTAATTATAAATGAAGCATAAGTTTCACATTTTCTTCAAGCAACAGCACTTGTTTTTTAACTCTGTATAGAAACGTCATGTGAAATGAGATGCATGTTCTTATTAGGTAAATGATAGAAAAACAAACTCAACGGCCCATTGATGAGGATCCGAAACTATATTCTAATTAAATTAAATATGATTTGAATAAAGGGGCTTTACCTTTCCATGTATTATTATGTGCTATATGAAACGGTTTGCGCCAATGATCAGGTTGGGGATGGGGACTCTGACCACTGTTGTTGGGAGCGCGCAGAAGACATGACAACTCCTAGAACAGCTTACAAGCTCGACCAGGATCATCCTGGTTCAGACCTTGCTGCAGAAACTGCTGCTGCTTTAGCTGCAGCTGCAATAGCTTTCAAGCCTTATAACTCTTCTTATTCAGCTCTCCTCCTAGTTCATGCCAAACAGGTAAGAACATCAGATAGTCCCAATGTCTATTAATAGGAATATAAGGGGAAAAGGTTCAAATTTTCACTGACGTTTTAATCTTCAACCCGTTGCAGCTTTTCTCATTTGCGGATAGATTTAGAGGCCTATACGATGACTCCATCCAGTGTGCTAAGCAGTTCTATACATCATCAGGTTATTCGGTAAGTAATACAATGACTGAATCCTTAACGTCCATGTTCTGATATTCATTTTTCTCAATCAACTGCTCTTTGGTGAAGGATGAATTACTGTGGGCTGCCACTTGGCTATTCCGAGCAACTGGTGAGGAGAACTATCTGAAGTATGTTGTAGACAATGCTGTCTACATGGGTGGAACTGGATGGGCAGTCAAAGAATTCTCTTGGGACAACAAGTATGCCGGTGTGCAAATCCTTCTTTCAAAGGTAAAAGGAAATCCAAAGTCGATTGGTTTGTTCCCTCTTTTGTGGGGTTTGAACCTTGCATAGCCACAAATCACCCCGGGTTAAGGCATATAATTGCGAATTGAGTTCATTTTTCTATCATCTCTTACTCAAATAATGCTAAAACAGAATGTTCTGCATGTTTCAATTAATAATTACTGCAAAAAATAGTCAGTTAAAGAGGGGTGCCATTGCCATGGCAGGTATTGATGGAGCAAAAAGGTGGTGCATACACTTCAACACTAAAGCAATATCAGGCCAAAGCAGATTACTTTGCGTGTGCTTGTCTGCAAAAGAATGATGGGTACAATGTCCACCTGACCCCTGGTTAGTATTGTTTTATTAAATCTCTTCTTGATCGAATCATAATTCTTTGTTTTAAGTTTTTAAAATTCAAAGGGGTAAACTAAATCTTCATCTGCTTATATTGATGTGCCAGGAGGCTTGATGTATGTGCGTGAGTGGAACAATTTGCAATATGCTTCCGCTGCGGCATTTCTTCTTGCTGTATACTCTGATTATCTCTCTGCTGCGACAGCCAAACTCACTTGTCCTGATGGCCAAGTTCAACCTAATGAAGTTCTAAATTTTGCCAAGTCACAGGTATATCTATCCTTTGTCCTCAAATGAAATAACTAATAACAAACAGTACTAGTTTCTCAACCTGTTTGACGCCTTTCATATGGCTTTGCTTGTTTGTTTTCTGCTTCCTTCAATGAAAAGGCTTCATTACATTTACTTATTGCTTGGATTTGTTGCACAGGCTGACTACATTCTTGGAAAAAATCCCAAGTCTATGAGCTACTTGGTTGGTTACGGACCAAAATATCCTATTCACGTCCACCACAGAGGTGCTTCAATTGCCTCTATCACAGTTCTTCCTCAGACAGTGAGCTGCGTCCAGGGATTCGAGGCTTGGTACCGCCGCCCTGAAGCAGATCCTAATGTCATCAACGGAGCACTCGTGGGAGGACCTGATCAGAACGATAACTTCAATGATGACCGTTCCAATTATGAACAGACCGAGCCTACACTTGCTGGCTCTGCACCGCTTGTAGGTCTCTTCTCTAAGCTGGAAAGCCTATTTGGAAACATAGGTAACAACATTTTCCTACCTCGCTGAGAATTGAAGTAAATCACTTGCTGCCAAGATTGTAGAATTCTGAATTCCCTGGCCTAAATTTAACAGGTCCACACCATAAAGGCTCAGCAACAACAGACCAACCAGAACAAAGTGAGTTAAGCGAGAATTTCTGTTTCTCTAAATCCATCTAGTCATTTTTTTCCCAATAGCATCTCATCAAAGTCCATATTTCCTACTTCCAGACTACCATCTCCAGCAGACACCGGTACCCAGCACAACATCTTCAGGTCAATAAAGATAATCAGCACCAAATATAACGACTAAAATATGTTGTGTAGTTAAGTTGCTAAAAAACCTTGATCTGCAAATGTTACAGGTGGTGTCCCAGTTGAGTTCCTTCACTCAGTAACCAGCTCATGGAATGTTGGGAAAGCGACATACTACCGCCACAGGGTAATAATCAAGAATACATCTGGAAAGCCAATAACAGATCTTAAGCTGCTGGTCGAAGATCTCTCAGGGACCTTATGGGGACTCTCTCCAACTCCTGTGAAGAACACCTACGAGCTTCCACACTGGGTTAGAGTCTTGAAACCAGGTTCGGAGTGCACTTTCGTTTACGTTCAAGGAGGGCCCCAAGCCAAGATTTCAGTTCTCGGCTACCATTGACTCCTGCAACACTTCCTACCCACATAACTTTTACGCACATTGGGAGTCTGGGACCCTACAGCTCCGACCGAAAATTGTAATTTACATATTTAATATATAATTAAATGATAATTTTTAGAAGATTCTCAATGAATATCAACTTCACGTCCATATCAAGGACTTCTTTTTAATTGTACATCTTTATTTTGCACGAATTCACACTTCTGCCTGATTAACTACTCGGAAGGCTTGAAACCCAAAAGAAAAAGAAAATGCAACTACTCAAAAGGGTTGAGTTAAAACTTAAAAGCCCGTTTAAAAGCATCGGGACATTTTCAGGTTTAACACGAACAGATAAAAACAATCCAATTAATAGAAACTGCTTCGTTGAGTTCCATAATATCAAAATTATATTTTTATATAATATAAGCCCAAAAGGCAACTTCTGATAACAAACAATTAAAAGGTAATAGCCACGGCATAATAAAACATTTCACGAAATTCGACACAATAATTAAGGTAGCAAAATAAAGGTGGAATGCAAAAATATATTCTACCAAAAACAATTACTACTTTTGAACTTAAGCAGGGACAATAAGGCAGGGGAAAAAACAAGTGCTCGACCCCACACTAATCCTCATCATTGAAAGTTGTCTTCCTTCCTGCATTTGGGGGGGAAAAAAATTATGAGAAAGCCACAAATTACGCTTCATGATCTATTTCAGCAAGAAGAAAGGAATTAATGTAATCAAAACAATCACCAATAGTAATCTATCTCAGCAAAATATATATATATATAAATGTAAGCAAAACAAGCAGAGCAACAGTATATACCTGTGCCAGCAGCAGCAAGGTTTGGCTTATTAGGTCCACGACCTCTGCCAGCACCACCAAATCGACCACCCCCACGCCTACCACCACGACCACCACGGCCACCACCATCCCTTCCCCCACTCCATCCCCCACTCCTTCCACCACTCCTGCCACCACCTCTTCCACTGCCTGGACCATCACGGAATTCACCTCTTGGTTTTGCCTCATCCACAGACAAGGAATAATTGTTTAGTTCAGATCCATCAAGTTCTAAAGCTTTGTTGAAACTATCACCATCGTTGAAATCCAAGTAAGCGTAACTGCAATTGATCACTTATAATCAGATACCGACTACTACTAACCATCACAAGAAAGCTCCCAAGACATTAGAATTACAAGGAAAGAAATTCAAACAAGGAAGGTGCAATAATGAATATTCAAGGAGACTTCAACCAGTGTAACCCCATATATTATTCGTTCACATCCAACATGCAGTAATTGACTAGGTTCTACTTAGCTATTTCTATAGCATTATGCAAAAAGCACTAGGTCCAAGTTTATCTACAATCTTAGGAGGGAATTCAGCAAAGAAAAAGATAAAAGGGGGAAAATGCAAGTAATGCCAACAATTTATGTGAAAAACAATACAAAGACAAAGCAAAAACGATAGAAAACAGGATTTCAGAACAACATAAATAACAGCATCAATAGATACAAACCCTTTCACACCACCAGTCTCCCGATCTACTGGAATTGCAACCCTAGAAATATCTCCACAAGAACCAAAGTGCTCTTCCAAAGAACTCTTAACCTGTGCATGTTTTGAACACAGTAAATATATAAATACAAAAAAACAAAAAGATGCAAAGCAGAGAGGAGGAAAGAGCAACTAAAGCTAGCTAATATTTAAAGCAAAGCCTAACCTCATCTTCACCAAGAGATTGATCAAACCCCTTGACAAAAATTGTTCGAGTCTGACTTCTTCCACCTTTCTGGAATGAATTGTTCCCATTGCTGCAAAGGATGGTGAGGGAATAACGTTGAATAAATTAATAGAATAGCGACATAACTATTGAGGGTTAAAAATTAAATAGCACTTCAAAGATTAGAAGAAAGAAAAAACATACCCGCTGTACGGTGTGTATGCACCCCTTTCACGGGCCAAATCAAGTCTAAGAGAACGATTCATCAAATATTCACCATTCAATTCCAAAGCCTGCAACAAAGATGATGTTAGGTAATAACATAGCAATGCTTACTTACAAACAAAACAGTACAAATGCAAATACACTTGCAATTCACTTGAAGACTGTTTTCTGTGTTAAAATTTTCATAGGGCTTCCCTTACAAATTTTAGAAAACTACTTCATAGAATATTTTAATATGCATCATCATTTAGTTGATGTACTATTTGCGAAAACCATACCAATTTTTTACAAAAACCTAAAACAAAATCTATTTGGTCTTTAATTTTCATCAGCATAAAATAGTTGTGCAGTACAAATACAATGCTTACAGAACTAAATTTCAGGACTATAATTTTCATAATTGAAATCATTAGTTTAATAAACAAGACATTTTTCTAATGAAGATTGACATGTTGCAAATAGTTATTTCTTATCACATTCAAAAGCAAGTAATAGTCATATTATTAGGCCTGATAAATGATTTATTTTCTATGAACTTCAAATATGGATCTGTTCAATACAAGTACATTAACCAATATTCAGTTTATACATCAAACATCCTTCACAATCCAAAATAGAAAAAAGACAAAGAAGAAATCTACCTTCTGTGCAGCCTCTGCTGTAGCAAATTCAACATGTCCAAATCCCTTAAAGTTCCCTTCAGCATCAGTAGCAAAACGTATATCCACAATCTCACCAGCATCTTTAAAGAAATTCTTTCTGCAGAGTAACATTGGTCAGACGTAAATAAAATAAAAAAAATTCAATTTAGAGGGACCATAGAACCTAAACATACACATCAGCTTGTTCAACTTGATAAGGTAGGTTTCCAACAAACAAAGTCTTTGATCCTGTTGATTGACCTTGAGGCGTTGCAGGAGTTTGGGGCTGCAAAGAAAATTCTTATCAGAATCCATCCATATCAACAAAATGAGCAAAACAAACAACTGGGGTAAAATTTGAAAGAAAAGTGGAAAGGAAATTGGCATTTACAGCTTTCTTAGCAGACTTCAAATCCTGCTGCTTGGTAATTTTCTGTGGGGTTGTAGCACCCACCATTTCAACATCAGTATCCTGATTCCAATATACAAAATCACACTAAATTAAGCAATCATCATTATCACCAAAAGCATAACACAAGCAACAGAGATTCCCAAGATCCATACTTTTTTCTTTGGAGTTTCTTCTTCATCATCACTTTCCTCATCTTCATCAGATGATTCTTCAGATCCCTCCTCTTCATTACTGCTTACTTTTTTGATAACTTTAGCATCTTTTCCACTATCTGAACCAACCTTTGACTGCAGTTTATAGAATTAGGCAACTTAGTAAATAGATACTAGAACAATAATGAAAGAAACATCTAGAGAAACATAGATGATCAAGAAAATTTGACCTTTTTGGCTGCAGGTTGTTCATCCTCACTTTCATCAGAGCTATCATCATCATCACTATCATCACTTTCCTAAAAAGTAAGGGAAAGTTAGCAAGAAAAAAAAAATCATACCGAGATCACAGTTCACCCAATGTTGGAAATCTCATTAATAATTTTTACAGATTTAATCCCTAAATCAATTAATACTTATATAAATTTGAGTTGCTGAGTAGTCAAGAAAAATCATCACCAGCAAGATAAAAATATGCCAAAATGAACATGTTCAACCCAAAAGAATAAAGGAAATCAGAGGAAAGTTATCCTCCTCATTTGATATTTAGCAAAAACCAAAATAAACTGTCTGATTAGTGCATAGTAGAACAAGCCAAATAGACTTCACTGCTTTGATATAACTATTCATTAAAAAATAAACATGAGCAGCTACAACAAAACATCAAGAGTTGCTCTAGTGACTAATGCTGATGAATGGGAGAGCAATTAAAAGCACAAAATTGTAAGGAGGAGCAACCTGTTTTGATTGTTTTGCCCCGGCTGTAGGAAGAGGTCTTTTAGAAGCAACAGGAACTTTGTTCAAAGGAGCCTGCAAAGAAATATCATGCAGTGCTAAATAAGTACAACTTTAACAAGAATACAAAATGTAACAGGAAAAGCCTCATCCTTAGAGGAATTGTTCAGTCCTCATCCTTGGACAAATTGCTCATTCCTCATCCTCAGGATCTTATAGGAGATCGAAATTTGCCACCAGACTTAAACAACCATAAGAATACCTCATCCTCAGAGGAATCAGTGTCTGATGAACTTTCAGATGACTCTTCTTTCTTAGCTGTTTTGCCAGTAACAGGTTTCTTATCACCTTTAGCTTCATTTTTCAGCTAAAATTTATTCATTGACACAACAACAATAAGTTAATAACACAAAATAAAAACCATGATTAAACTGAAACTGCTAGATTAACAAATTCAAAAGTTAAAACACCTCTTCTTCCTCAGAATCACTATCATCAGAAGAGCTACTACTGGATTCCTCTGTTTTCTTTGGGGTAGGAGCAGTCACTTGCTTCACCACAGTTGCTTTCTTTACATCCTAGTGCAGGGCAACAGATTCGATAAAAATATAACCAAAAAAACACATAGAAAAGAGAACCGCATGAATGAGACATCACACCTCTTCATCAGAATCCTCATCAGAGCTGCTATCACTAGATGCAAATTTAATAAGAGAAAAAGGCAATTTATTTGTTTGGGTGGTGTCCTGCAAATTACTACAACTTCTTACAAACAATGTTTATAGAAGTGCTCCTCACTTAAATCAATTATTCTCAGAAGAGATGTTAGAGATCCACATAATACTATGATCATCTCAAGCATTACATTGTAGATAAATAAATGTTGGAAAAAAGCTTACTAATTCTACTTATTGGAGAAACATTTTTTCCATGAAGCTGAAGTAAAAGAGCATGTAAAACAGTGTTACCTCATCTGAAGAGCTGTCACTTTCCGAACTATCGCTTGACCCCTTTTTGGGAACAGTGGTAGGTCCTTTCTTAGAGGCAGGCTTTGATTTTTCCTGTATATGCAAAAATAACAATCACAAAAATTCCCCAATCAGATTAAAAAGCAAAAAATCAATCAACAATCCAGCACTTACATCATCTTCATCTGAGCTGCTATCTTCATCTGAAGAATCTGAACTGCTTGAGGCCTTTCCTTTCTTAACAGGTGCAGAGCCATTTTTAACAGCTGCTGATACCTTTGTTTTTACAGCAGGCTCCTAAATCAAAAATTAAATAACAAAGATGGAGTCAAGAGTTTGTACAAGAATTCTTGTGTTCACTGTCCAGCATTAGCCTCAATACTCACATCATCAGAATCAGAATCATCATCAGAAGATGAATCGGAACTCTCGGTTTTCACTGCCTTAGCAGCTGGAACAGAGCCATTTTTAGCAACAACTGGTTTTTTCTTCTGAGCAGGTGCTTCCTGAAAAAAAAAATTGAGCATCAAAACATATACATATGACATACGCAACCTAGCAAATTTTACAAGCATTAGTGTAATACTCACTTCATCAGAGGATGAATCATCCTCACTACTAGACTCAGAAGAATCTGAACTGCTAGCTTGTTTTGCTTTCTTTGCTGGAACAGAGCCATTCTTGGCCATAGCTGGCTGCTTCTTTTGGGGCACAGGTTCCTGAACCAAATAATAACATTAAAATATGCAAAGCAGATCCAGACAAACCTGCATTTTATTATCCCATAATGCGTTCTCTAGATACTTAAGAGAATTAAGAGACAACAGTGGAAAACATAAACAATAAAGTTAAGGCACATACGTAATGTAAAACAGACACAAAAAAGAACACGATTGAAAAGTGAACTATCAGCATTATAACAATATCAACACTAACAAACGTTAAATCGTAAGTTAAAGGGACAATTGCTATTTGCATACATCCTCCGAATCAGAAGAGTCATCGGAAGAACTGCTGGTTTCATCTTTCTTCTTCTTCTGGGTCTTTGCTTCAACCTTCTCCTTTACAATAGCCTGTGCTACTCCATCGTTTTTCTTCTGTTTTTTCACAACCACTTGTTTTTCAGGAGTTTCTTCAGCTTCTCTCTTGCCTATACAATCATGAAAGAGAAACAAAATAGCTAGAGTTTCAGAGACAAAGAAAAATGAAAAAGCGTTAACAAGCAGTTGCCCCACAATACAAATAAATTAGAATATTTTAAACCTTAATCTCACAAACAGAGACACACAAAGATTCAAAATTGCAAACCTAAAGAATCGAAAATACAGAAAAAGAAATACCTTTCTTTCCAGACTTAGGAGGAGCTACATCACGGGCTGCTTCAACCTACGAAAAAGAAACGAAAAACACAAAATTAAACCAAAACTAAAACACAAAAGTATTTAAAAGACAAAAAAAAAAAAGAAGCCGACAAAATCAACTCGAGAAAATAAATTGAAGAGTTAAAAGGAAATGAAAGAAGAAGAGTACTTTGGGGGTTGATTTCTTGCTTGACTTTCCCATTGTTAGGCTAGAGAGATAGAAACGGGAGACGGGATCTTCTTGGATTTGGAAGAGAAAAACAGCGGGCTCTGCGAAACCGCAAAACCCTAGTAGTTAGGATACTTTGGGGGGTTTAGGGTTTTGGGGGAAGGAAGCACTCGAGAAAGTGTGGCTTATATAGTGCGTGTATTTATAGTCTGAACGCACTTTAAACTCCCAAAAGGAGCACCGGGTGGTCTTTTAGGGTTTTTGCATGTCCCAAGTACACTGCAGCGCAGCGCGTGGCCCCGTCTTTTACTCACTGTTTTTTCCCTTCTTTGAAGCGGTTGAATTGCACGTGGCATATCCGCACCGTCGGTTCTGTTATTGGATATCCCCGGTGAATATTCGATCATTTGATAATAGGCACCCAACTGACACCTGGCATTTGGATTTAAGCTGGGCTGATCACAGGCCCAAACAATAATATATTGAGCCGGATATTGGGCCATTTAAGTGGTCCAGTCACAGGTTGGGTCTTCAATAAAGGGAAATACTTGTTAGACGTTACTTCTATCGTTGGTGATGTGCCCAACCAGAAATTATAAAAATCACCTCATAAAATTTAATCAAAAATTTTATAAAGAAAGACGTATATTAATATTATAATCAATAATTTCCATAATTCACAACCAATAATTTTAAGATATAAGAAATTACTTTTTTAAGTTAACCTACTAACAAAATAATTAAAAAAAACAAAATTTCAATAATATCATTTAACAAAAGATTATTCACTTTATCTAGTTACCATTTTTAATTTTGTTCCCTTAAAGGGTTGAAACTTGCGTTCCTATAAATACTAGTGGAAAAAATGTGTTTGCCATTCACTTGTAACACCCTTTTCCTCGATCTTTTCTCTGCTCTTGGTGGTTTTCCTGCTGACATCATGCGGTAATGTATTTTCTTGCATAGAATATAAATTCATTTAACTGTTATTTTTACTTTTTTTTTCTCTTCCTATAGTATGTTAGAAAACCAATTTATATCAAGAACAAGAAAAAAGTATGAGTAATTCATATTTTTCAATGAAGGGAGCAAATAACATTAAACTAATATCGAATTATAACTGACCTTTTTTTGTAATTGGAAAACATATTTTTCAAAAATATTCTTTATTTTCTAAACCCCATAATTTAATATTAGAAGAAATAAGCTCTTTTTTTTTCATTTTTTTGTTTTAACAGCTCATATCTTATATGTGATGACTAGGCACTGAACAAGCAGAGGCACAATCAAGCACCACCCTGGCCGTCACCGTTTCAGAATGGTCGTGCTACGATGAAGGGTGTGTTGCTATTTGCCAGAAAACGGAAACAGTAGCAAATGCGTCGACGCAAATCATTGTTGTTGCGTGTGATGACATACTTTAATTATTATTATTATTATTATTATTATTATTATTATTAGGAATAAAATGAGCAACCACATATATGATTTTCTTCAGAATTGATCAAAGCTTTAAATCAACGTACATAATTTTATCCCTTGTCTTATAGTTTGTAGGCTTGTCTTAATTATCTTGGATGCAAAACCATTACATTCGTACCGCATACATATAAGCTCGCTAAAGCCAGGACAGGGAACCTCAAAGTTTCTGCACTCAAAAGAAAAGCTATGGCTTGGGACTGGTTCCCGAATCATCAAAGCCTTTCTCTTTTGTGCAAATTTAATTCCTTAAACCGCAACATGATATACCATAGCATCAATGTTCTAAAACTAGTATATTTCGGAAGTTTCAGTTGCTCCCATCCTCGTCCCAACAATAACAGACTGAAGCATGCGAATATACCAGTACAGACTGATTCCAGCTACTCCAAAACAATGCAATTTTGAGTAACAAGGGTTTAATATCAAAATCTTATGTTACAAATGCTGAGACCAAATATGAGAAATTAGAGTTTACAACTCCTGGAGAATCAAATGGATCTTCCCCTGCCTGTTCAATCTGTTGGCAACTGTTTGGCATTAAGTAAGATTCTGTCATTGCAATGGAAATGAAGTGGAGACTGCTTAGGTATACATAATTCCTCATCAGCATTGGAGGCTGTATGTGCCTTCAAACAATACTAACAAAATTAGTCACTGAACTGTTTGGTTGTTATTTCACAGATTCAACAAAGATATATCACCACAGAAGTTCTTCCACGAGCAAAGTTGAAACAAGTTACCTTCAACTGCGAACCCACAAGGGCTCTAAAGAGAAAGGTTTCTCACTCCGTGAGCGGGCGGCTGGAGTTCCAGGTGGAGGTGCATGTACAGTTATAGGAAGAACCCACTCACTTTTGTCTCTACCTTCTATTAAAAGAGGATGCTCATATCTGAATTTGAAATCAAGAAGTTGTCCAGCTTAACAATTACATTTGGCAACAGCTAAAGCAGAAATCTTCTAAATTTCAATAAAACTAATTTTAAGCCATTTCAACTTTTGGTCAAACTGTGTATGCCCACATAAAACTCAACCATATATACCCAGTTGCTGGAAGGTTATCATAATTTCATTAAAGAGTTAAAAAAAAAAATCTTGAATTATTTGCTTCTTTTGTTTAATACTGTGTCTAGCATTATTCTAAAAACATATGAACTTTGCTGCCACATCAAAGAGGTATTAAGAGTATATGCATATAGCCCACAAGCATACAATGGCAATCTACAATGTCAAGTGAATAACCATTAGCAACAACTTCTTCTCCTAAGCTAGAATGATTCTGTGGTTGTAGTACCACATGGTCATACCTTGCCCAGTCTACGTTCTTTGGGGTAGTGAGAAATTCAAATCTTAGAGCCCATTGCACTGAGACATGAGGAGTAGAAAAGGACATGGGGCCATCCATGGGAATAGAAAAAAGAAAACTTGACTGTACCAAATCAGCAACAACTTCATGATGATCACTCTGAACCTAAAAAAAAAATCAATAAACAGAACTATTATAATGTCTAAATGTTTCCTATCTTGAGTCCTAGAGGTTAAAAAAACACATCCTAAAAGAACAGTTAGAAACTTATAAACCAGACATAGATAAGTGTGTTATGTGAAATGCTTGCACAGTTGTACCCAGGCAAAAGCAATCAGATGGCAAAAGCAATGTGCATTCTCAGAAACAGAGTGATTAACAATTTTAAGAACCATAATTTGAAGAATCAACCACTTCAAGATTGAAATATTGTTTCCCTCCTAAATTCATTTATTCTTAGTTTTTTATAAAAAATATTATTTATTAAAATCACAATACTTTGAAGAATACAAGAGCAAAAACTAAAAGGAAAATGAAAACTCTCAGGATAGTGAACACTATCTTGAATAAAAAGAAAAGGACTAAACAGGAAGCAAAATAAAAAGAAAAAAAGATAGACGATTCTAGCAACCCAAAACTTCTTCACAAATAACAAGCATTTGCAAAGGTGTTAAAGTCTAAGCATACAATTGCAAGAATGTATGCATGTAGCTGGATAGAGTGAAAGGTAGCTAATATAATTATCATGGGTTTCATGCATGCCCAAAACAGACCAAGCATGTATTTGAGTATAATTGACAAACTCAAATAAATAAGTAAAACTCTATTTCCTGAATCTAATGATTCACTGTAGAATACAAAAAGTTTGTAGGGAAAACCTTTGTAATTGTTGGGGAATTTCTCCTAGAAGGATGAACAAAACGCCTGTTTATAGTCTCAGAAGTTTCCAGCGTGACTGAGACCTACAAGACAGCAATTCTTCCAGTCAATTTCAAGAAGCAGCATTCAACAGTTCCTAGTTTGTTCACTCCTTTAGTAGCTTCTCAATTTGGTTGGTTCTAATCAACAATTACCTCCAGGCATCTCCTAGCTCCTTCATGAAAGAAAGTAAGAGTCCCACCTATCTGTTATGGAATCAGGTAAATAAAAAGAATAAAGGAGTAACAATGGACACTAAATCATGCAAGGAGGCAGAACTATAGCCTAAAACTGATTTTACCACATCACTGAAGTAATACGTGGACTCAGAATTCTTAGGGGAAAATCTGAGCAGAACTTGGTCATCCATCCTGATATTATAAGACCTTCCTCGAATAAAGCCTTCTGCTGCAGAATATGTTTATAACAAATAAGTTTACCAAGATTCACATATTAAACAGGCCAAGGCTAGATTTCTAATACATGAGGAACAAACAAAACATAAAATGAGGGCAGAAAGTCTAATACTTTACATGCTACAGATTCAGTGGCTCCTGGGCTGGGTGCAGAAGATACTCCTGTGATATCATCTGCAGCTAACGATCTTGTAGGAGTCCGCTGCTGACTTGCAGATAAAATGGCTGAAGACTTGTCTGCTGGCAAAATATCTATTCCAAAAGGCGTTCTAAGGGTCAGAAAAGCTATTATTTTGAGACAAATGAAGGGCATTACTTCAGCAAGTTGCTGAAGAACTTAAAAGTAATCACAATAATCTAGCAAAATGTATGAAGCACATAAGTATGACAATAGAAGGAGAAAAGATAAGCTCAATGCAAATAGCGACTGCACATAATCAAGTATAAACACACAAGTATGATGATAGGAGGAGAGGAAGATACATTCAATGCAAATTGTGACTGTATATAATCAAATAAAACTTATTACCTGCACTAGGATCATACAAGACTTCAGCCACAGATAACCGAGGAAGTCCCACATTTGAAGATAAACTCAAACGGTCTCCATCATGATATGGACCATCTCTATATGAAGACCTGGCTGCTGATGATTGCAAGGATAGGGAACTTCCAAAGGTTTTGTATAGATTTTCCTTTGAAGGATTATAGGATGAAACAGACGATACTTCATCTCTTGAGCTCTCATACCCTTCCTCAACACCATCATACATGTCACTCACTCTAGCCTGTAACAAAACATCCATTTACTAAGCAATCATTCAACTCAAATGTTCAGTCAAAAGCATAAGCAGCACTGATAACAGCCTTACCCATTCTGAATCTCCATCCATCTCTTTCCAGTAAATATCTGTTTGAATGGTTGTAGCAGGGACAATACCTGCATCATCAAAGACGGAAAAACAGTCATCATGATATTTTTTTATGTGCAGAAACCTGTTAATTGCAGTATGACTCCTATAACAAACTTAAATTCATAGACAGTAAAAACCATATAACTTTTTCAACCGTGCTTCAAAATTTGAGTCATTGTTACATCAGTTGTGACTTATTCAACCCCTTACCTATACCATCCAAGGAAAAAATGTATATGACACTACCTCTACAAGAGGCGAAAGAGAAAACATCACTGGAAACAAAATCTAGAAATGATCAGAAGACATTAACCTTTGCTTAAGATGTACATTTGTATCCTAAACTTAGTGATAATTCTTGACTGGAATACATACTTGTCTTATGAAAAGGCAAAGTTACTACTTGTCAATGGTTTCAAAAAAAAAAAGATTTACAATTTATAAAAAAAAAAAAACAAAGGAAAAAGTCACGGTGATTGTGAAGTTGAAAACTTGAAAGAATAACAACGTACCATCACTTTGACCGTCTTCCATTACCAAGCCGTTTTGCTTCTGAGTTACCCATACTTGAAAAGGAATACGAGCCTCCTGTTGGAATTCAAAGTTCATAAATATCATCGATCTCCTAACTGTTTCACAGTATATGCAGACAAGGGCAAGTTCTCTCCAAGATCCAAATGTTTGCATAAGGACATATGCAAGCACAGACAAGAACGTGTGGACATCCCAAAATGTCCATGCATGTATAACTATGAAATTACATATTCAAGAAAGAGCCAGATATGACGGAAAAAAATGGTAAATTATCTTCATTAATCAATCAAACACAGAAAATTGCATAAATGATGTAACAAACACACAGGACTGCGCTATCCTAAACTACATTACCCGGACTTGGGGGTGAGTGTCAGATACAAGTATGTGTTTGACACTGGTACGTTCAATTTTTTCTCAGTTTTTCCATATATTTGGAGTGCTGAAACTCCATATCCATTTTTGTCAAATGTGTGTCGGACATGGGTACTTCAAGGAAAATGAAGGGTCGGAGTAGTATAGATCTTAAAGAAAACATGATAGAAGAGCATTCTAATTTGTGCAATGACAAAATTTTAGAGATCAATGGATTTTCAAACAGAACTTCAGCCATAAATCCACAAACAGAAGCTTTGCACCAGCACAGCATTCACTCAAGTGTAAGAAATAGACATCTATCTCCATTGCCTCTCTCACATATGAAACAATAAAAAGACTTATGAATGTTTCAGGTTCTTTCTTTTCCATTTTCTCTGTTTCTTTTTCCCTGTTGTGGTGAGAATCCCCAACACACACACACCCCATGCAAGCCCCAGGCCAGAAGAAGCTACACCACCTAAAAATTTAGCACGATTCCTATTTTCAAAAGCACTATTGAAAGTTAAACATGTCTTATTGTGAAAGACAAGAACAGAAGTACTTCGGAATCCTTTAAAAAGTTATGAAAACTAAGTAAAACCAACCACTTCACTAAGATCTTTTACTGACTCCTCGCTGGAGTGACCATTTTCCAGTATCAGCCATCGAACGAACAGGGTACTCCTAATATAATATAAATAACGAATGGTAGCACCCTTGTAAGATGGTGGTATAACGCTAGGAAGCACAGCCCGTACCACATCTGCAGATAGAGTGAAAAGTCAGTTACAAATAAATCATGTTGAATCACAATAATGAAAGGAAAGAATGGTTGAAAGCCAATAAATACAACCATTGGAAGAGGTAACAAAATACTATTTGCTGCCAACAATAGGTATTCATTTCGAGACATTGATTGACAGGATTCCGGCTGTAACACAATAAGTTACAGTGAAAGTTACAAAGAATGCATTTTAACTTTCATCATAGAAATCACATTTCTGCGTATTTAGCCTCCTTTGCAGACAATTTACTTAGCATTTTTACTTTCTTCCTTCTGCTGTTTCTCTTATGACAAAAATCATCCTTCTAGTACTATTTTCCCTCTAATAAGTCAATGAAATATTCTTCCTGGTGGTAATTTTAAAGAACATAGTATCAGACCATTTTCATTGAGCCAAATTGAGAGTTTGACTAAAACATGATGGCATTTGGTCATTAAGACATCAAGGTCAGTACATACTCATTTTTTCTGCTTCAAAAAAAAAATCAATAGCATTAATTACATATTGTGATGAATAAATAGATTTCCAAGAAGAATAAAGAACAAGTTTTACACACATACACATACACTTGCACATGTACACACAACAATTACACAAAGACAGGAAGTAGACAAACAAGTTTTTGCAGAGCCAGAAGGCACAATCTGATTTGAAACCATTGATGTTGTTGAACAGTCCAAAAAAACATGTTCACCTGAAAAAAATTGAGAACAATAACATAAATATAAAATATTAAAATGAATGAAAAAAAAAATTAAATGACTAAATGGGCATTGCAGACAGTAGCATCTTTTTCTTTTCTTTCTGATATGGTTTCAGTTCTCTTCATAACCCAAGGTTTAAAAACAAAAAAAAAAAACCCACTGGCTAATGCAGTTGATCTAAATTTGAAAAGACGGTGGTGACTAAATGGCCCAGAATCAACAAATTACATGAATGCTAAAATGTGAGAAGAAAATGAAAAATGTAAGCAATTTAGACAAACCCCTTTACTCTGATTTGACTTCATTGCCTAGAGGGGAAACATATTGAATTCATTCTCTTTAACATAAAGTCACAACTCTAACCTAATTAGAAATTTGCTTACATTCCTCACTTCCTTTTACCATCCATAAAAAATGTTTTTGAAATTAAAAAAAAAATGATGAGCTAAATGAACAATGAATACATTTAATTCTACATTGCAGTACCAACCTCTCCTTTGTTTTGTTCCGGCCAATGGTTTTTGAGTGGCAAACCATTGAGTATCCAACTTCTCTATCCCTTTAATTTCGAAGCCAAGCCTTTCAATTAAAAGTGAAGGTACAATGCTACCAGTATTGCCACTAGCAAGGGGATTGCAGATCTCAATCGTAACATAAACAGAATCTCCAGGCCTATACACATCTTTATCTGTTTGCAGTTTTAGTGTCGGATTCAATTCACTTTTATCACCTTCCACATAATTATCAACCTTATTTGATCCCCCACCTCCAAAGAAAGAAAACCTAATTGGCAACATTGCCTCTAAACTGTTCTCATTTATTCGTTATGAAACTCATAAACAATATAATTAACCTGCAAAATGCATAGCAAATGTGAAATTAGAAATTCCTTCACCCAGCACATGAACTCTGGAAAAACCATGAAGAATCTGAGACCTAAAAGCAGCAAATTAGCTAGAATAAGCTACTTGCTTTGTGTACGATTTTTAAGAAAGACAATTAGAGTTGGTTTTCTTTCCCATTTTCTCAGGAACGAAACAGAAATTAAGCTGAGTTAATATACTGTGAAAATTTCCTTAGAGCTTAACGGGTCGAGAACATAACAAATTAGGACCGATATACAGAGAAATCCATTTCCAAGATCCGATTTGCAACGAAGCTTAGATCGTCTTAAAAAATTGAGATCGCGAGACAAAGAAATTGAATATGGTAAAATAACGAAGGGATCCAAACGTACCTGATAGTTAGAATGATTTGAAATGGAAGGAATTGAAAATGGAGAAGCTCCAGGCTCAAGCTCTAATCAGTAATCACCCAGATTTGAAATCCAAGTTATCTTACCCTTCGGTTGGTGAACAAAAAGGGTAATAAAACCTTTTTTTTTTAAATCTACTGACTACTTAACAGACCCCACTGCATGAATCAATTTTCATTTCCCCTTTTCTGTTAATCTGCTGCCCCACCCTCGGATGCAGCTGTATACCGTGCTGAGTGGTGGGCCGGGCCGGGTTGAGCACATATTCGTATTACCTGGGCCCAATTTACTCTTTCTGTGTTCCGAAAGTACCCTTGTAGTTAATGTAACAAAATTGCTAACGAGTTATTTAATTATAAAAATGGATTACCATGATATAATAATCAATTAAATCGATTGATAATTGAATAGATAAATTTTTTCCTTGTTAAGATGAACAAGTAGTAAAAATAAAAATATAGAGTCAAAAATCATATTTTGTTTCAAATAATAACGATATCACTCGACTTTTATTCTTAAATCTATAACAAATATCTCATTTTTTGTATAAAAATATATTACTGTATTGTGTTATAATTCTTTTTTCATTTTAAAAGAAATAAGAATAGCAAATTTGAGCCATTTATATACGAAATATAATGTTTTTATGAATTTTCTTTAACTATTTGTGTTGTGAACATTCGTTTTTTATCTTCATTTAAGCTTCCTTTTTTTGAAGTAAAGGTTTTCAATCCGTGAAAAGAAATTTCACAATAGAAAAGAAATTATATTTGTTGCATTAATAATAATCAAACAGTGCTATTTCACTAAAAAATAAATTTAATATTTTAAAAAATTTAAAAATGAATATTTCTAATTTTAAAAAATTAAAAATAATTATTTTTTATCTATATCCAACTCCCCCTCGCTCAAACTCCCATTCCTTTTCTCTCCTTGTTCGTCCATTATTAGCAACCAATAATATCCTCTTGCCATTTTCCTATTTTCAAATATTAATATTCTTTCTATTTTCCTACCTTCAAATACTAGTATTCCTTAGAGATGGCAGAATGTTGCAGTCAACCTCTCATTGTGTATCCATATGTGAACGTAGGAAAATGACAGGATGAGATTAATATTTAAAGCTTATAAAGTAACCCAATTCAATGATTAGTAGGATGAAGAGGAATATGTTCATTTAGAGTTGGATTTTCAAGAACAAACCTTCATTTTCATCTTCAAAAATTAAAATCCAGAGTATTTTTGATAGATTTGAAGAATGTGGTGACAACACTACTGAGGACATCGTCTAGGGAATACCATCAATTTAAAAGTGAAAAAAATAAAAATTACAACCTCTTTAAAGTTCAAATGGCAACAAATGTTATGAAATATGAAATAAAAAAAATGAAGTTTTTTTTTTTCTTTTTCTTCCTCTCAAACGCACCGACAAATGTTATGAAAGGTCTCGTTATCTCCATTACTTTTTTTTTATTATTATTTTCAATTCATCAAAACCTTAAATTAAATCTACCATACTTCATTAGCATTATGGGCTTCTTCGGATTCCACTTGATTTTAACAAAATAATATAAAAATTGCACAACATAAGAAAGTTGAACAGATCATTTGATTAAAGAAGTAATTAGACAGCAAGCAAAGCCATAGGAAGAAACTACCCGTACGGAAACTTGCAGTTTTCCTATCGCTCGCATTGGTTGTGGAAAGGACAAATCAAGGACGATTGCGAGGCTTGAATGACTTCTGGTGTGGATGAGGACAAAGGAAACGATGTGCGAGAGAGAATTGACAAAATACTGTATGTGCCTTTACTTGCTAACTTTGCACAGATACACGACACGGATTTAAGAAACTTTAAATTTAATTTAATCATGTTTTATGAGTTAATAGTATTAATATGATTAAGATATGAATAGATTATATTTTAATCATATCAAACACATTTAATATCTCTAAACTATTATTAGTTAATGATTTTATCTTGTATTTGTATAATTTATAATTTATTTATTTAATTGTGTTCAGGTGTCATATTTAGTACAAGATTAAGATTTATTTATTGATTTATATAAATAATAATATTTTTAAAATGATTAAGATTTATTGATATTAAATTTTATTATATTTAATATATATTATAATATTTATAATTATTTACTATAAATTTAAATAATATAATCATATTTTATTTGTACATCTTTCAATTTAATCATCTTAATCGTATACATTTTGTATTAATCATTTCAATCGTATAAATAAGTCATAAATTATATTAATTTTAATCGTATTAATCAAATCATATTATGTAAAATTTAACTTAATATATTTAATAAGTATAATTATCGTGTCATGTTGTATTTACATAATAAAATTAAAATAAAAATACATGAATTGACAAATCTATTAACGTGCCACGTTTAGGCGTTCCTTCACAATATTACACGAAACGGTACGGATGACGAAATGCAAATCCAACATTGAACTCGACCGGATATCCTAATCAGCTTGGCCAAGGATATCCAAACACAAATATTGCGTACATTGGCGTCTGTAGAGCAATAGATGATTACATTGACAATGGACGATTACTTCAATGCCATGAATTTAATATTCTTTATGCTTTTCAATATACATGCACCCTGAACAAGAACCGCCTGCCTGGACCCACCCAAACAATGTAAGCAAAGTCCACTTCTACGGACACAACGAATTATTAGCATTGCTTTTGCATCGTGAAACGGACCGATTTGTTGGACTTCCCATTCGCTTTCTTGTCCTTTCCTTTTTCATATTTATTTTTTATAAAATAAATTGTAAATTTATCACCCTGTTTAGGGATAATTAAATTTATCACATATTTTTTAATATGTATAATTTTCTCATTGTAATTTATAATTTGATTGAAAATAATCAAATATTTAAAATGTTTACTGAATTTTTTATTTTTTAAACTATTTTATGTAATTAACTTTTAACCAAATTACGAAAATACATTGAAATAATTACACATAATCAAAATTGAGTAATAAATTTGATTCATCACTAAAAATAAAATATTAATTTGAGACCTCATTACTTATTTATTAATGAAGAAATACAGTGAGTTGGCGACATCAACTGGAGGGGCATCGTTCAACTAAGCTTTCATGATGGTTTTGCACTTAAATCACAATGTGAAATGAAATCTGAGGGAGCATTGATGAAAACATGTGTTTTTTCATCATAATCTCTGATCACAAAAGTTCATTAATAATTCATAAATTTTAAACTAACCTTTTATAGAATTTCATTTTATTAATCCAAAATCTAGAATGGCACTAAAAAATGGCAAAGTACTACTACCCTTTGTTTTTATTTATATATTAAGTGCTCTCTAGGCGTTTCTTGGTCTAGATTGATATAATTGATTTTATATTTCTTTTCCAAATTATATATATATAATATTTTTTTAATTTAATATATAGTATTAATTTAGATTGCATTGGATGTCAAAAAAGATAAAAAAAGTTAGATTGCATTTGATGATTCTAAATTTTTGGTACAACGAATAGGGATATCTACGGATCAAGTATGGTTCAGCTTACTCCACTCTTAATTTTTAAAACCAAACTTGGGATCGACCTAATCCATTCATTTAACAATTAATTTTTTAATTTTATATTAAATATTTTAAAACTAAAATTAAATAAAAAATATTATTTATTCAAGCCTCAAAATTATCAAAGCTCGACTCAGTTGGGCCACATATGCGAGCTTGGATGGGTAATGCTGCCCTTGTACTGTACATCTTCAGCATAGAGTTATTTCTTCACGTTGTAATTTGTAAACTCTGACTTCTTCAACCTTATACAAATTTGAGACTTCTAAATGAAAATAAATATTATTATTGTTATTATTGTTATTATTAGATGGTAATGGCCGTCATTATTGAGAATTGAATTATGAGAACAATATAAAGCGGTACAAGTGGGAAAAGCATATAAGAAGAATCTTGAGTTTTTAATTTGACAAATAAAAGAATAGATAATGAAACATATTTAAAAAGAATGACAATGATTTATTTATTTTTTAAATTAAAAAAATTTTGTTCAATTTTACGTATCTCAAAACAATGAAATTATAAGAAAACTTATTCAATGGAAAATGAAGTCAAAGATACCTCTTTTTAATTTCCTCTAAAACAAACCATATTTTGAATGAAGGCCATGAGGCTTGGAAATTGGCATGGGAGGCAAAGACTTTTTATTTTATTTCGATGACATGAAAAATAAATTAAAGGTGATTGGTACATTGCCTTTCTTTTGTTCTTTTTAAATTCTTTAAAGAAAATGGTGCAAAATTCATTGAACTAATACCAGTATTAGTATTTATTGTAGTATAGTAAAAGAAAATTACTAATTCAATGTAATTATTTTTATTATTTACTATTTTGCTACGTCTAGAAGCAAAAACAAAAATCAAGTTCATATAAAATTTAGAAAATCTAACAATTTGTAAAAACAATATCTATAGTTATATTTTTGCATCAGATAAATATATTTAAATTGACATTGCATTTTTAACAGATTGTGAACCTTTCATGGCTTTGGGTACACATTTTTAAATGAATGCTATACTATATTACTCTAAAGTATTAAAAAAAGAACACACAAAATAAATACTAGAAAAACTAACGATTCGACATGTGAAAAAATAATTTTTTAATCAATATTGACCAAAGACCTTTTGGCTATCGTGCCAAATCTTGACTAAAGACTTTGGCATTTAAGTTTTTCCAGCCATTTTGGAAATATAAGCGCAACTCAGAAATCAAAAAGTGGTTTGAGAAAAATAGGAAAAATGCTGGAGCCAATTAAAATTTATATTGGTGGTACAGCTGGCAATCACCTGGATTCTGCCATTGCCTTGAAGATTCCGTAGCCCAAAGTACCTTCTTTTTTGATTATGTATTTTCTTCGAACTTTCCATTTTATCATTCGTTCCTAATTTTTTTTGGCGACATAAACATTAGGTGATCACCTTAATAAATTTTTGGAAATTTTTAAAATTTTCCCTATTTAAAGACACCAACCCAATCCCTCTTCTCACCTCCCTCACTGCCTCCTCCCTCTCGGTCCCTGTTCTTGCCAGATTAGCAGTAGCAGCCATGGCTCTCCTCAGTGATCTCATCAACCTCGATCTCAGTAATACCACTGACAAGATCATAGCTGAATATGTTTGGTCGGCTATCTCTCTCTCTCTCTCTCTCTCTCCTCCCCCTGCCCTCGTGTACGTACAATCTCAGAGATAATTTCCATTTCTAACACTTTCTTATTTCTGTTTTCAGGATCGGCGGATCAGGCATGGACTTGAGGAGCAAAGCAAGGGTGTGTTTCATTGTTCAAACTTGTACTTTGTTGAAAATTATGATCCGGGTATTTTTTTAGTCTTAAATAGTTCTTGCTTTTACCATAATAATAATATTGGGTTCTACAGACTTTGCCTGGACCAGTGACCGACCCTGCAAAACTCCCCAAATGGAACTACGATGGTTCCAGCACAGACCAAGCTCCGGGAGACGATAGCGAAGTCATCCTATAGTACGTATATTCGAGATTTGTTTTTGATTAAGATTCCGTGTTTGGTTAGAATCTTACCTTATATTCTTCAATAATATCCTTTCTGATTATAACGATTCTTATCTGTAATCCGACTGGATCAGCCCTCAAGCGGTATTCAAGGATCCCTTTAGAAGAGGAAACAACATCTTGGTAATTAATTCTTGCACGTTACTTATTGCTTTTTGGTCCCGTGATTTTCGGTGGTACTGTGCTAA